ACAGAAGATCAATAAGGAAACAGAGAACTTAAGCAGCACTACAAATCAAGGAGATCTAGCAGTCACATACAAAACACTCAACCTAACAACGTGAGAATACACATTCTACTCAAGGCACGTGGAGCACTCTCTGGGATAAACCAAATGTTAGGCCACAAAACTAATCTTAATAAATTGAAAAGATTGAAATCATACAAGATATCTTTCTCCATCACAATAGAATGAAACTAGAAATCAATAACAGAAGGAAAACTGGAAAATTCACAAGCATGTGGAAATTAAATAACACAGTCTTAACCAATGGATCAATTATGAATTAATCAGGGAAATTAGAAAACACCAGAGACAAATGAAAAGGAAACACAACATACCAAAACTTATGGGATGCAACAAAAAGTCTTAAGAGGGAAACTTATAGTCATGAGTACATTAAAGAAGAAGAAAGATCTCAAATCATGAAGAGCAAATTAAACCCAAAGCTAGCAGAGGGAAGGAAATAAAAAAAGATTAGAGCAAAGATAAAAAGAGAATAGAAAAACAATAGACACAATCAATGAAACTAAAAGTTGATTATTTGAAAAGATCAGCAAAATTGACAAATCTTTAGCCAGATGAACAAAAGGGAAAAGAGAGAGAAGACTCAAATTACTAAAATCAGAAATGCAAGTGGAGGCGTTACTGCTAATTTTGCAGAAATAAAAGGAATTATAAGAAAAATTATGAAGAGTTTTACACCAACAAAGCAGTTAACCTGGATAAATTGGACGAATTCCTAGGAACACAATCTACCACACATTATTCAAGAAGAAACAGAGTGCTGGCCAGTTAGCTCAGTTGGTTAGAGTGTGGTGTTATAACACCAGGATTAAGGGTTCAGATCCCCAAATGGGTCAGCCATCAAAAAAGAAAAAAACAGAAAAGAAGAAGAAATAGGAGATCTGAATAGATCTATAACCAGTAAGGAGATTCAGCCAGTAATCAGAAATATTCCAACAAAGGAAAGCTCTGGATGACATGCCTTCACTAGTGAATTCTATGAAACGTTCCAAGAATTTACACCAGTTCTTCCACACTCTTCCAAACAATTAAAGAGGAGGTAATGCTTCCTAACTCATTGTATGAGGCTAGTATTATCCTTACACCAAAGACATAACAAAGACACTACAAGAAAAGAGAATTACAGGGCCGAGCCTGTGGCACACTCTGGAGAGTGTGGCGCTGGGAGCGCAGTAGCGCTCCCGCCGCGGGTTCGGATCCTATATAGGGATGTCCGGTGCGCTCACAGCGCTCACTGGCTGAGCGTGGTGCGGCCGGTCTCAAAAAGGACAAAAAAAAAGAGAGAATTACAGACCAATATCCCTTATGAATATCAATGTAAAAATACTCAACAAAATACTAGCAAACCAAATGTAGCCACATATTAAAAAGGTTACACATCATTCCCAAATGGGAATGCAAAGATAATTCAACATATGAAGACTGATGTAATATGCCCCATTAATAGAATGAAGGGAAAAAACACTTGATCATCTCAATTCATGCAAAAAAAGCATTTGACAAAATTCATCTCCTTTTCATGATACACTAGGAATAAAAGGAAAGTTCCTCAACACGGTAAAGGCCATATATGGAAACCCATAGCTAATAGAATAGTCAGTGGTAAAAAAAACTGAAAGCTTTTCTCCTTGAAGATCAAGAACAAGACAAGGATGCCGCCTTCCACTGCTTCTAGTTAACATAGTACTGGAAATTTTAGCCAGAGTAGTTGGGCAAGAAAAAGAAATAAAAGGCATCCAAATTGGAAAGGATGAAGTAAAATTATCTGTTTACAGATGACATGATCTTATATGTAGAAATTCCTAAGGAATCCACACAAAAAATTTTAGATTCAATAAATGATATCACTGAATTTGCAGGATATAAAATCAGCACACAAAAATCAATTGTATGTTATACACTTGGAATGAACAATCTGAAAGGGAAATTGAAGAAAACAGTTTCATTTACAATAGCATACAAAAGAAAAAAATAACTAGGAATTAATTTGTCCATGGATGCAAGAGACATACACTGAAAATTATAAAACGTTGAAATAAATTAAAGCCTAAAAATGAAAAGATACCCATGTGCATGGATTGGAAGACTTAGTATCATCAAGATGACAATACTACTCAAAGTGATGTATAGATTCAATGCAATCCCTATCAAAATCCTAATGTCCTTTTTTGCAGAAAGAGAAAAACCCACCCTAATATTCACATGTAATCTCAAGGGACCCTAAATAGCCAAAACAATTTGGAAAAAACGAAGTTGGAGGACTTGCACTCTTGATTTCAAAATCTGCTTCAGTGCTACAGTAATCTAAACAGTGTCATACTGTCAGAAGGACAGACAGACAGACCAACAGAATAGAATCTAGAACCCAGAAATAAACCTTTACATACACGATAAACTGATTTTCAACAAAAGTGCCAAGACTATTCAATGGCAAAAGGGTAGTCTTTTCAACAAAAAATGTGTTGAAAACTGGATATCCATATGTAAAAGAATGAAGTTAGACCCTTATCTTACATCATATACAAAAATGAACTGAGATGGATTAAAGACCTATGTAAGACCTAAGACTATAAAACTCTTATAAGAAAGCATATGAGAAAATCTTCATGACATTGGATTTGGCAATGATTTCTTGGATATGACACCAAAAGCACAACAAATAAAAGAAATAGATAAATTAGACTTCATCAGCCTGAAAAATTTCTGCTTAGCAAGGGAAACAATGAACAAAGTGAAAAACAACCCACAGAGTGGGGAAAATATTTACAAATTATACATCTGTTAATAGGTTAATGTGCAAAATATATTTTAGAAATCCTACAGCTCAACAAAGGATGTGAATAGACATTTCTCCAAAGAAGGTATATAAATGGCCAATAAGCATGTCATTAGTCATGGGGAAATGCAAATCAAAACCACAACGAGATATAACGTTCCATCTTTTAGGATGAATGCTGTCAAAAAAAAAAGAAAATAAGTGTTGGTGAGGTTGTGGAGAAATTGGAACCTTTGCGTGTTGTGGGTTGGTATATGAAATGGTGTTTCATGGGATACAGTTTGGTGGTTCCTCAAAAAATCTAAACTTAGAATTGCCATATGACCCAGCAATTTTATTCCTACGTATATACCCAAGGGAATTGAAAGCTGAGACTCATACTTGTGTGTGCATGTTGTTAGCAGCAGCATTCACAGTAGCCAAAAGATGAAAATAACCCAACTTTTCATCAACAATGAATGAATAAACAAAATGTGGTACACAAATGCAATGGAATATTATTCTGTCATAAAAAGGAGGGAAGTTCTAATATGAGCTGCAACATGGAAGGACCTTGAAGACATGATAAGTGAAAGAAGCCAGACAGAAAAGAACAAATATTGTATAATTCCACTTACATGAAGTGCCTAAAATGGGCAAATTCATAGAGACAGAAAGTAAATTAGAGGGTACCAGGGACTGGAGGGAGGGGCATGAATAGTTACTGCTTAATGGTCTCAGGATTTCTGTTTGGTGTCATAAAAATGTTTTGGGAATAAATCGTGGTGATCATTGCACAACATTGTGAATGTAGTTAATGCCTCTGAATTATACACCTTAAAAATGGTTAAAAGGCAAATTTTATGCTTATATTTTATCATGAGTTTTTAACATTAATACACTAAAAACTATTGTATCGTTTACTTCAAATGGGTGGATTGTTTAGTATGTGAATTATATCTTAATTCAGCTGTCAAAAAAAAGGATAGATACTCTATGATTTCATTCACGTGAAATTCAAAAACAGGCCGAATTGACTTTGTGAGAAGTCAGGATAGTAGTTACCTTTATAGAGGACAGAGGGTAATGTTGGTATTCAGAAACATACACAGTAAGGCCCTGTGGTAAGTGCAGTGCTAAGGACGTTAGGGTCTGAGGGGCGTTCATAGAGCTGTCTAATCCAGCCTGGCGCAGAGGATGGTGTGCACAAAAGCCGGGAGTCCAGCAAATGTGGTGCACACAGGGAAGCCCATGCTTCTGTTTGGATTTTCTGTAGCATGAAATGTTAGGCGAGGCATGGTGGACAATGAGTTAGAAAGGCAAAAAAGGATTAAAAAGCAGATAAACTGGGTCAGAGTCTTTGACTTAGCATGTAGGTGGAGGGGAAGAGACAGATTTTAAGGAGGGAAGTAATATGGTTAAAGATGTATTTTATTTAGATCACAGTGGGTGGCTGTGTAGGCGATGGATTTGAAGTTAAGTACTTTGCAAAGTAGCAGGGCTGTGATTTAAACCCAGTTCCATCTGACCCAAAGCTGGTAGGTTTGTCATCAAATTAAGTAGGAACTGAGGCTGTCTTTGAAGCCATCATGTACAGGGAAGGAGGATTCAAGAAAGTGAGATGAGCATTAAATTGTTCTCTAGGTATTTGTTTCTTCAAATCTTGCTATTCTTAGATATTTTTAATAGTTGTCTTTAGAAATCCTGGCTATTGTTGTTTATTTTAGAAAAGAATTTGATTTCTTTTTAAGGGGAAAAAAGGGATGAATAGTATTCTTTTTTATTCTTTAGTTAAGTCTGTTCAAACACAAGATCAAAAATTGCCTTGGGTACAAAATTTGTAAGCCTAAGTATTATGATTAAAAATTATGGCAAAAGTAATGATTATGTTTAAAATAGGATGCAGTGTTTTTTTAATCAAACAGGTTAAGTGGTTCTCATAAGAATATCTGAATAAAAGCACAAACTAGACGAACTTTGAAGGACTCTTAGTTTAAGTGTCCTAAAATAAATGACAGGCAATAATGAAGGAAATTATACATCTGCTATTGTCAGTAATAAAAATGATCTAACAAAAGGTCAAAAATAATTGAAAGATAGTACAGATATACAGCTTTATAAAACCATTTGAACATCATAGATTATTTTTATCTCAACTTTAATTTCATCTTATTTATTTCTATTATAGGCCCACACAAGTGAAATGGCAGCTGATGGTTGCTAGTTGTTTCAGAAGAAGTGGTAAATGCTTTCCTTTTATGTTTTTTATTTCATTTCTGTCCTTCTTTTAGGTATTTATGCATATAATGTGTTCCAGTTGCATATTTGTTTATTAAAACACTTTTGCTAACTACACATATTTGAAGCATTGTAGGAAAAACATAATAATTACTACATACAGAAGTTATGCTTTCAAAGTGGTTATTAATCACGTATCCAATTCCCCTCTTAAAAGAAGATTCATTTTTTCCTCAAAGTTAACATGTGATCATTTCCACTACTTAGCCGTAGAGAAAAATAGAAAAACATTCTGCATACATTAATTTATATTTACATTTTCTACTCACTTGATTCTAAATGTCCTATGTACTCAGCAAAATTTATGAAACTTGAAAAGTCTGAGAAAAGTTCAGAACTCGAACAACTGGGACTATGTATCTTCTTATACCAAAGATCACTAGATATCTTGGTTTGTGTTTTTTATTCCTGCTTTTGTTATGTTCTGTTGGTGACACTTATCCTGAAGGATCTATCCTAATAGTTTTAGATGCTAATAGTTTTAGATTAACTATGAAGTAAATGATATGCTTAAAATATCAGAGATTAAGCTGGTCGATAAATCTTAACAAATTTATAATCCCTCTTACAGACCATAAATATTACTCGGAGAAAGAAATTCTTTAGTCTAAGGGAAGCACAGAAGATGTTGGCAGTGTGTTCTCACCCAGTTTTGTGGGAGGTTTCCTTCTTTATCTCTGTGAGCGCCTTCGGAACGGCATCAGAAATGTTTCAATACGTACTCAGTGTAGTCCTCAAATCATTTAAAGGGTTGATCTTTAACATTACTGTAATTCCGATGGGATATGCAACATGACTACATGTCTCTTATTTATAACAATGTGACTTCTCAGTAGCCTGTGTTCATTTCAACATCAGTCATATATAATGTGTATATTCATATGAGCTATTCTGAATGGTTTAAAGACATAACCTGCTTGAGTAATTGAGTGCAGGTCAGAAGCAGCAGCTAGTGTTTATGAGAACCTGCTGTGTGCTAGGTGCTTCCTATTTCTATTTCACAACTCTTTGATGGATTAGAATAGTCATCCCTCTTGTACAGTGAGGCCCAAAGAGAGTCATAACTTGTTTGCTGAGATTTTAGCAAAGATCTTTAACCCAAACTCATTTTTCCTATTCTTTGCTGCTACATGAAGCTAAATTTTGTACAAAACAAGTTGCTTTCTATAAACTTTTTAATGTTTAAAAAAAAAAAAAAAAAAAAATGGGCCGAGCCCGTGGCGCACTCGGGAGAGTGCAGTGCTGGGAGCGCTGCCACGCTGGGAGTGCAGCAGTGCTCCCACTGCAGGTTCGGATCCTATATAGGGATGGCTGGTGCGATGCGCTCACTGGCTAAGCGCAGTGCAGCCGGTCACAAAAAGGAAAAAAAAAAAACATTAAAAAGTTATTTTTCATCACTTCCAACTAAATGGATGACATTGAAATTAGTGTTAGTATCCCACTTAAATTATTTTTGAATTTGTCAGTTGTTCATCTGGAATAATTATTTTTAGGAAATTGAATGGATCTTAACTTTTGCCATTAAAATATTTATTTTAGGGCCGGCCCAGTGGCGCACTGGATAGTGCGCCGCTTAGGAGGCGCGGCAGCGCTGCCGCCCGAGGGTTCGGATCCCACATACAGACCGGCTCCCGCTCACTGGCTGAGCGAGGCGTGGGAGCAACACCGAGGTTTGCAATCCCGTTGCCGGTCCCTGGTCCGGTACGGGGGCAACACTGAGGGTTGCGATCCATTGCCGGACACGGAACAAAAAGACAAAAGACAAAAAAAAAAAAATTTATTTTAGGAAGTGAAACTAAGTTTCAACCATCACCCATTTACTTCTGCTCTAACCCTTTTCCAAATTTATTTTATCTGTACATTTTTCTTCCAGAAATTATATTAAGAATGGTTTGCTTGTGGCAAGTATGAAAGCTTTCTACTAAACCATTAAAGTGTGCCAGTATATTGGACTAAAATTAATACTTTGCTGAATACTATTAGTTTCTATACTTTGTTAGTGTGTTATATTTTTCTCTTTTTTATTCATAGGTAACTACCAAAGAGCGTTAGATACTTATAAAGATATTCACAGAAAATTTCCAGAAAATGTCGAATGTAAGTGACATTTTTAATGTTTTTTTGTAACTTTGACAATGTAGGTTCTCACATTTTGTGTTCTAATATATAATTACATTTGCTACAGTAATTGCATACATAAATACCAGTCTATAATTTGTGGTATATATTTTTAAATATCTTTCTAGGATCAGAAAATTTGACTATGTTAGTACACATTTTTACAGAATTTAATTGTTGACGAATTTAAATATACCACAAGGGTTGGCCGGTTAGCTCACCTGGTAGAGTGTGGTACTGATAACACCAAGGTCAAGGGTTCAGATCCCCATACTGGCCAGCCACCAAAAAATAAATAAATAAAAATAATTAAATATAGCACCAAATTCTCTTCAATAGTAAACAAGTCTATATTTCAAAGTTTTATGAAATTTTAAGAATAAATTTGGCTTATTGATTTTTCAAAGTTCATCAACTGTGGTATTTTATGGGAAAGGCATTTTTAACTGTCCATTTTAGCATACAACTTTTTGAAATTGAAAAACACTTTGAGTTTATGAAAATAGAGCCCTAATAATCTTGTTGATACTGATAGCAAATGATTTTTTAAGGTTTCAATTTTAAAACACATTGGTATGTTACTTATTTGTCATGCAAAGTAAGCTTTGTAGAAAATGTTAATTTCCCATCTTGTTGCACAATGGATTTGATGCAACTTGCACCAGTAACAGCAAAATCAAAATCAAGAAAAATATAAAATAACCATATTCATATGCTGCATATTCCCACTAAAGTGTAAGTTTGGCCCTGAAGCCAAAGGAAGGGGAAAAGTAACAATCAGTTGTATAATTTTTACTATTTTATTAGGAAATAAAAAGCTATTCCTTGGGAAGGAGAAAAATTTTTCCAACTCTTCATTCATGTTGAGACATCAAGAGATACCATAGATAAAGTCATTGAGAGATGAAAGTAGAAACTTTCTTTAAATAACATTCCTGCAGCAAATAAAATAACATGTAAGAAAAGACTGTTTTTAATTTTGTCCCTCAATGACAATAAAAACAACATATTACAATTCAATAAAAACAAATCCTTCCTGAGCCAAACTTTCCAGTGGTCCAGCCTGATCCAAGAATTAGATGTACTGCATGTTTCCTAGTTAATATATTTTTCCATTTGGCTTTTGATAAACCTCAATAGCAGATAGCTCAGTTATGATCTCTGGTAGTGCAGGAGCCAGGTGCTCTCTAATGCTGATTAGAAGTAGATTCATTCATTTACAGCAGTAGTTTCCCAATGCCGGTCAGGAAACAGACTTCATGGGAATTACCTGTAGAACTTTTAAAAAGTACTAATTTGTAGCCCTGCCTGCAGAGATTCTCATTTAGGTTTGCAGTAGACCCAGGCATCTATTTTTTCCTATTTCTTCTTTAAGAGTTTTCTATATGATTCTTAATCTCAGTCATACTAGGAAACTGGTGAGAGATTAAATGAGAGAGCAGTAATAACTTTTTGTGAAAATGGAGCAGCTCAGCATCTGCTAGGCAAAAGTTTCTCAGCCTTGGCACCTCTGACATTTAGTATTGGGTAGTTCTGTGGTGGGGGAGAGGCCGACCAGTGGATTATAAAATCTTTGGCAGCATCCCTGGTCTCCATAAACTAGATGCTAGTAGCTTTCCCACCCCCAGTTAGGAAAATCAGAAACATCTCCAGACATTACAAAATGACCTCTGGGGGCAAAATTGCCACTGGTTGAGAACCACTGTAGTAGCCATAGCACCTCTGCAAGGCCTAAAACTTAAGGTTCACTCTAAAACTTAAATGAATGATTGTCTATGCCATAGGGAATTTCCAAGATGACTTTGGCCTGTATAATTTTCAAAACAAATGTAATCAATAGTCTACCTTGGCTGTAGCCATGAGAAAACATTTATACCCATCGAATGTCTCATTTTGAGCCAAGTAGTATTCTGGCGAACCCAACAGGATAATTTAGTTTTAAAATATATTCTTCACCAAAAATTGACCTGCTCTCTAGAGTTACAGATGATATACTAAATTTCAGCCAAAAACAATGATTTTTTTATTTTAATTAAATATTCCTAAGCCACTCTTTCTGAGGTTAGGTAGATAAGAGAAACAGTAGTGCACCATTTGCAGAAAATATAAAGCACCTTCTTCTTATGAACTATTAAGAAAAATGTGTACATAGGAATTTACATAGTAATGTGTGGCTTTTTTTTTTTTTTCGTTTTTGTCTTTTTTTTTTTTTCGTGACTGGCAACGGATCACAACCCTCAGTGTCGCGCCCGTACCGGACCGGGACTGGCAACAGGATTGCAACCCTTGGTGTTGCGTCCACACCTCGCTCAGCCAGTGAGCGGCCAGTCTGTACGTGGGATCCGAACCCTCAGCGGGAGCGCCGCCGCGCTCCCAAGCGGCGCACTGTAGCTGTGCGCCACTGGGCCGGCCCAATGTGTGGCATTTTAAATTAATTTAGTACTGTCTCTTTTGCCATACATTAATGGTCGTACGTTAATTGGTTATTTACAAATTCTTGTGGAGTGACTGTGTTCCAGACACTGTTCTAGCACTATAGATGTAGCAGACAACAAAATAGACCAAAATCCTTGATGTCATGGAGCTTGTATTCTAGTGGGAAAAGACAATAAACAAATATGTAGTATGTGAGTATTTGTTACTGCTGTAAAGAAAAAACAGGTAAGGAGATAGGGAATATGGGAGAGGCTAGTATTTTAGAGAGTGTGCTCATGGAAGGTCTTTCTAACAAGACAGCATTTGAGCAGAGACCTGAAAGGAAGCAAGCCATGAACATGTGGAGGTTAGTGTGGTCAGAGCACAGTGGACCATGTGATGGGGAGTGTGGGAAGAGCTGAGACCAGAGAGAGGTGGCAGCATGGGTGGGCCAAAACCCATAGGTCCTCACAGGCCTTAGGTCAGAACTTCAGATTGTATCTTTAGGGAGCTGGTGAGCCATTGGAGAATTTTGAGCAGAAGAGTAATATGGTTTGACATATTGTCAGTGGATCACTAGAGTATGATTATGTCAAGCTTCTGTACCTGAGGTCCAAATCAAAAGATTGCTTTGGCTGCTGTATGGAGAATAAACTGGGGTGGGCAATATCTAAATAAGAAATCACTGTCTTAACTTGGACTAAAGTCATAGCAGCGGAGGTGGTGAAAGGTGGTCAGATTCTGAATATGTTTGGAAGGTAATGGTGACAGAATTTGCTGGCTATTTGAATATGAGACTTGAGAGAGAGAGAGAGAGAGAGAGAGAGAGCGCGCATCCAGGGACAGCTCCACAGATCCAGGTCTGTGCAGCTGTAAGGATGGAGTTGCTGTTTACTGAGAGGTGGAAAACTGGGTAAGGGCAGGTTTCAGAAATTTTGTTTTGGGTTGTGTAATGTTTGAGTCAACTCTTATATGTCCAAGAGAAGATGTTAAAGAGGCCCTAGGGAGGAGTTGGAGGTCATTAGTACATAAGCTCTTTTTAGTATGTTTAGCACATATTTTTGTGTTCTTCTGTTATATTTATTATCAATAATTTTTTTTAGGTTGAATTATTTTTTTAAAAAGTATTAAGACTTCCCTGTTTCTTTATCCATTTATTTGTTTCCCCAAATTTTTATCAACTATTTCCTATGTGCTGGGGATGCAGCAATTTATGTTGTCTTGATTTCTACCCTCTACAACTCACAAATAGTCAGTGTCCAAAGTGCTATGGAAGTACAGAGGAGCTCCTAACTGTGCCAGAATTAGGGGATGATTGCCATAATTAGGTCTCACAGAAGAAGTGCCATTTGAAGTGGCCTTGAAGGGTATGGAGGCTTTTGCCAGGGAGAGAAGGCCAGGTAGATGAATAGCATTAGTAAGGGCAAAGAGATAAAAGAATTCAGAGTCTATTTCAAAATACAGTCTATTCTGAAACCGTAGCAAATTGAATATGTGTTTTCCCATACTACAAACAACAAAAAAAGATATTTTATAAAACCCATAAGAGCAAAGCGTTAATTAAATTTTTGGAAAGTTTTTTGCTTAGTAGATTAGAAAACAAACTGCAGGGTAGGTAGGTAGCAGAGAGGTCAACAAGAAGCAAAGCAGCTCATGCCATAGAGCCCCAGTACTGGGGGCATCAGAGAATGGGGGACGTGCCAGCCAGTGCTGAAAATAGGAGGTTTGGCTGAGAGTTTGCATACGAAACAGCTAGATGTCCAAATCCCCTATCTAAATTGCACAGCAGGAAGTTAGGCAAAACGTGATGAGGGTGTTGGTGGATGATGTGGAGAGATGTATTGAGAAATATTTAATAGAGTCAAAATGGTTAATTGTAAAAGTAGGAGAAAGAGAATAACTTGGGTATTTATGTAGATAATGAGAGATAAGGAGAGAGAGAAAATGCAGGAGGAAATTACAAGGTTTGGGTAGATCTCTTATTTCGGCCTAAGAGGGGAAAAAACCCACCATGAGGCTATGAAAAAAATGGTATTTAACAAGGAAGTATAAACAATTTTTATGACCCAGAGAAATAGAAGAGTTCAAAAAATTATTACAGGAACCAGAAGAAAATGTATAGAAATATTTGATCCCTTCGGTAAGATCAAAGAACACATGACCTCTACCTGCCTCAGAGGCAGAAAGTCACAGGCTGCAGTGAAAAGATAATAGGATGATACATAAGAAAGGACTATAGGGAAAATAATAATGTGTAGCAGAATTAAAATCTACCTGAAGACAGTAAGGAGTAGAAAATCAAGTTTGTAATTGGAAAAGTAATAAGTTCTCAAAGAATGCAGAGAAAAGAACAAAGATTAAAGAAGATGAAAGTTTGATAGATACAGAAGACAAGAGAGTTATAACGTAAGAATTTGTGTTGCCAAGAAATAAACCAGAACATTTGCAATAAAAGCAAAAATCAAAGACATAGTAGAAGAAAACATTCTAGAACAGAAAAAAAAAAAAAAAAGATCTGCTATCTGCAAAGGAAGAAAAACTGGACAATTATTAGCAACACTAAAACACCAAACACTAAATACCTAAGGTAGTGAGACAGTATCTCAAGAGTTTCGAAAACTTCTTTACCCCTGCATGTAAAGGCAACAGAAAGATGTTCTTAGATATGTAAGGGCTTAGAAAATATACTCATCTCCACTTCTTGGGAAAACAAAAAGTTGACTTAAGCTTAATTTGGAAGCTCACTAGAAAGCTGAATTAAACTTTAGAGCTCAAAAAGGGAAATTATGTTATGTAAGAACAAGTAGTGAGCATAGAAATTCATTTAACATGAAGTTAAATCTAAATAATTATAAAGTATAATTTAAGTGGTAGGTGGTGAGGGGAGAGCTGAGAAGTATGCTACGTTCCTCCTCACTTATGGGAGTTCTACTTGGAGTAGAAACCAGTGCACTGTCTCTGAGGGCAGATTTGTAGTATGTATCAGGAGCCGCAAAATGGTCATAGTGCTTGGATACAGTGAATCCACTATTAAATAATTTATCCCAAGGGAATAAGAAAAGTACACAAATGTTTGAAACAACTTTAATGTTAATAAAATGAATAAAATTATGACATATCATAAAATACTTTGCAGGCACGGAAACTATTTTTTGAACTTAACCAGGGATTATTATGTTGGTAACAGAAAAGCATAGAAAGGTATAAAAATGTTTAGTTTTGTCTTTGGGTGGAGGAGTAATGGGTAACTTTTATTTATTTATTTTTGTATCTTTACTTGTTTTACCAGTTCTCTACAATGACCTGCATTGCTGTTGTATTGAGAGAAACAAATTATTTTAAAATGTGATAATGAAAATATTCAAAGTAACTTAGACCATAAATAGCAAAAGCCATTCTTGTAAATGTAGAAACAAAATAATTGTGGTTTTTAGCATTCACTGCATGTTTTTAAAATTTTGCTAATTTTAGAAACAGTCTTGACTGAAAAAGCAAATTCCAGAAGGCTGCATAAAGAATAATGCCGTTTTAATAAGACCCGATAGCAAGCAAAACTAAACAATATGTTATTTGGTGATATATATTTAAGTGATAAAACAAAATGATGAACACAGTAAATCCAGGGATGGAAGTGTGGGACGGATGGGAACAGCGCATAGGCAGAGGGAGTGCTCTAGTCCTCACCGAGATGGCTGTTCACTGGCGTTCAGTTCCACTCTGTCGTAGTTGTTTTATATGTATTTGATGTCAACTGCAAGCCCAATGACGGTAAAGTACATCTTTTGTACAGTCCCAGTGCTTTGCATGTAGTGTGAATAATATTAAAAGAATGAATTTACTGACAGTAAAAAGAACATTTATTAGTAATTTTTATTATTATTATAACGTGTACAGATTGTCTACATTTTTTAGCCTAGTCTCCCATACCACTCTTTACATGTACTTATGAAATTTACATGAGAACAATAACAAATGTTACATCTGCCTTTTAAATTCTCTCCCAGCAGTGCCCTTGTGCCATGTTCCTTCTAGGATCTGGCAACATAAGGACAGGGCAGGTGGAGAGAGTCCCTTCAGACCCCCTTCCAAAGAAGTCATTTCTCCCAGGTCCAGAGATTGCAAAGTGTAATTATTTTTCAGGAGAGAAAGAAACACTCTCTGTGAGCATCATTCCTACCTTTGTCCCAAAAGACTGGGTTGATTTGTTGGACTTTCAACACTATGTATATTACATTCTTTCCTAAATATATTTTTCACAATTTAGGTCTGCGTTTCTTGGTTCGTCTCTGCACAGATATTGGATTAAAAGAAGTTCAAGAATATGCTACAAAACTCAAGAAGTTGGAAAAAATGAAAGAAATAAGGGAACAGGTATCTCACATGGGCCAAAAACTGCTCTCTGTTTATTTTCAAAATGTCAGCCTTCTGCAGCTCGAATTTGTGATATTGGGAGTTTCCATCAGAAAACGGAGTTGAATTTCTTTTTTCTGCTGTAGCATAATAGGAGCAATAACTAAAATTCTAGTTTTAGGATAAAATTCTGACAAAAGTGGGTTTCCAGTGGGAGTAAGTGCCATAGATGCCATGCAGTCTTCCATGGAGACGGCTACCGACAGGTGAATGTGGCCTTCCATGACATGAAGCTGCCCACAGGTTAACTCCAAGGCTCAATATGTATCACTTGGAGAGTCCTGTGGCCCATGCGAGGCACTTACCTGTCTGCAACAACAGCAAGCTCTTTTTCAAGCCCTTTCCTATTAGTAGAGCCTGGCTCTGAGAATAACATTAACATACATGGAAGCATTTTAAGTGCACTTCTGTGTTCTGGGCGGCGTGTGGAATAACAATGCTCTTATTTTTACTTCTTTAAAAGGATAATCTCTCCTACGTTTGAGCCTAGAATATTTAAAAATTTAATATAGTTTTTGAGCATCTGCCTTTCATAGAAAATATGTTCTTGAAGCTTATATTGCTATATTGGAAATTAAATTCTGAGCGAGGGATTATATTGATTTTTTTCTTATACTATTCCAAAAGTATGACAAAGGACTTTTCAAGAATTTTTTTTTTTCCTTTTTGTCTTTTTTCGTGTCCGGCAACGGATCGCAACCCTCAGTGTCGCGCCCGCACCAGACCGGGACCGGCAACGGGATCGCAACCCGCGGCGCTGCGCCCGCACCTCGCTCAGCCAGTGAGCGGGAACCGGTCTGTATGTGGGATCTGAACTCTTCGCGGGAGCGCCACCGCACTCCCAAGCGGCGCACTGTAGCAGTGCGCCACCGGGCCGGCCCCTTTTCAAGAATTTAATTATCATGGATATAAAGAAAATCTGAATTCTGTATTTGCTTTCAAAACATAGTTATCTTGTTTTTGCTTTTAAGATGTGGTCTGATTAGTCTATTTTAAAAGTATCAGTTCTGAAAGGATTGTGAGCAAACATAGATTTTTTTTTTTTTTTTTTGTCTTTTTCCGTGTCTGGCAACGGATCGCAACCTTCAGTGTTGCCCCCGGACCGGACTGGGGACCGGCAACGGGACCACAACCCTCGGTGTTGCTCCCGCGCCTCGCTCAGCCAGTGAGCGGGAACCGGTCTGTATGTGGGATCCGAACCCTCGGGCGGGAGCGCCGCCGCGCTTCCCAAGCGGCGCACTCATCCAGTGCGCCACCGGGCCAGCCCTAGATTTTTTACTTTATAAGTCCTATAAAATATCAAGTCGTTATTATGTAAAGTTACCTAATATAGAGCCATGGGTGTGTATGGAAAGAGTCAAATTCTTCAGACTTTACAAGTTGAAGTTTCACCAAACAGTGAACATAAAACTACTACAAATATGGATTGTGCATAATACGCTTCTCACAACTTAAAACCTTAAAATGGTATATGCATTAGCATCTCTGATTTGTTAGACTTCCAGTGTTGATCCCTTTTAAGCAATAAGAAGTAGCCTTCTACCTCCCTGGGAACTTCCTTGCAGCCAGTTCACAAGGGATCTTAACTCAAGCTTTAAGCAGCATTCGTTCCGGGGAATTCCTGGGAAGTAAACTTGAGGGGTAAAGAATTACTTTTCACTATTTTTTTGTAGTTCACTGTTAATTTCACTTCCCATTCTTAGTTGTATCTTAGTTGAGCCATTATAGATAGCGTTCTCTCTTCTTGATCTTTACAGAACTTGTATCCCCCTTTACGTTTGCTTCTCCCTCCTTTGTCTCTTCCCTTTTCCGCTTTGCTTTATTACAGCCTCTATATTGTGAAGTGCTTTTGTTTTTCATCTGGCTGATTACTATCAGCTAATATTCATGTGGACTAATGAATTTTACTATATAAATGAATATATGAATATCATTGAAATTACTTTTCCTTTCTAATTACTACTCAGCCTCTCAATTCCTCGTCTATGAAAATATTTATATATTTACTGAATATAGTCAACTTTTGTCTATTTCTCTCATAGACCTGACATCTTTTCATACTCATCTGTATTTTGAAAAATAAAACTACCTTTTTATGGTGAAACATAAGGGTTTCTACTGACAGTATGTCCAAAGGGACTAGACCTTTGCTTAGCAAGCCTCATTTTCATAGGTATGGTGCAAATTGATAGTGTCAACTATATTTTAGAATATTTAAAACTCATGGGAACAAACCATTTGTCAGGTACACCTAGGAATTTTAGAAATATCTATTTTTCTACAAATAAATGATTTATTAATTACAAATAATCACTATATTATACTCACTGAAATAATTTTCTAATGATTTTCTTAAGAATACTTTAGTAAACACATATGAGTTACCATTGATGCATTTAAATTATCTAGTGTTTATCTTACCTTTCTTACCCAAATTATTGACATCTAACTGCACTTACCCAGTGCCTCTTTTGGTAATATTTTATCACTGCTCTCGTTGTAATCTGTATAAAATCCAACCGCAATCATTTAGATATCTTCTCTCATTACATCTTTTTCTTAATATTTTTCACTTGAACTTTGTTGTACTTCAGTCTTTCATTAAAATTAAGTCATTAGTTCACAAACATTTAATTTCTCTTTCTAATTTCCTTGGAATCTGTTTGGTTTCTCCAGACTGTACTCAGTAAGTCGTTTCCTTTTTTCTATTTTTCTCAAATTGTTCTATATGCATATGAGAATTTTATCCATTATTCTTCAGTATTCTTCATTAAATCATACATCAAAGAAGTGTTTTCTTGATGTTTTCCGATCTGTTTTGTTTATAAACACAAAGTGGAGAGGGAAAAAATCAATGGAAAAGAATTGTAGGAAGAAGAAAAGAGGCTTAAAGAGAAAGAATTCATGCATATCTGAGAGCCAGCTTCTCAGTTAATTGCTGTCTGTCCCATTTCAGTTTCTTTCTTAGATTATGAGCCTGTAGGACAGGGCATTCTGTTTCCTGGTTTGTGTAGTGTGTAAAACACTATTAGTTATGTCACAAAATGTAATAAACTTAATTAAGGATGCTTTCTTTTTCTAAATTTGAACTTAAAACTTCTTGTTACCTTTTCTGTGTGTTTCTTGTTTAGAATCAGTCCCATTGGAAAAACGTAACTTTTTTTTATATGATTAAATTTATTCTTAAACATCACTGTAAAGGCTGCATAATACCTCATTAAGCAGATGTATCTTGATTTATTTAAACATTCCCACGTCATTAAACAGTGAAGTATCTTTTTTATAGTTGGTAACATTCTGTAATCAGTCAAATTTTCAGGTGTTTCTTGCTAAAGTTCTTGGCCTCTAAAGTTCTTTCCTCTTTGTAGGAAAGTGCTTTCATATTGTTGACATGAGACATTTCATGAAAAAGCCTTGTGATTGAGACCAGGGAATATCATAGATAATCACATCAAACCTTTATCTGGAGCTGCTAAAAAGAATACAGAATTGACCCTCAGTCTTTATTTTTTATTTCCTCTGGAAGTGCTGATTATGACAAAAATTTGGCAGCAGGAAGGAAAAGAAGTAAAGAGCCTGGGCAATCTGTTCTTGACCGATGTTAGCAATCTTTGTGTTTCTGGTTGCAGTTCTCTCTTTAATTCCTCTTTGTTGCATCTGCTTAACGAGACAGTGACAACAGTGGCTGACAATTACTGAGTATGCAGTAAGTGCGGGCACTGTTCTAAGCGCTTTACATGTATTAACTAATTTAATCGTCACAATAATTCTGTAATGTTGGATGTGGCATTATTATTGCTATTTTTTATGGGAGGAAGACTGAGACCCGTAGTGATTAAGTAACTCACTCCAGGTCACACAGCTGTTAGGGAGCAGACCTAGAATTCAAATCCAGGCAGGCTGGCTCTTAAGTCCAGGCTTCTAACTACTGTACCTTACTACCTTATGAATGGGGGAGGAATAGGAAGATGCAAATAATGATTTTCAGTTGATATATGTCCTTCAATCAAAATGTTCCTTGCCGTCAGCCCACTGCAATTAGATTAGGGGTTAGGGTTTTAGAATTGTGCTACTCGAAGTGTGGTCTGTGGAGCCTCAGAATCATCTGAGAGCTTCTTAGTATTGCAAAACCTCAGGCCCTACCCCAGACCTACCTAAAACCAACTCCAGAATTAAAATCTCTGGCTGTGGGGACCAGGAATCTGTGTGTATATGTTTTAACAGGTTCTGCAGGTGATTTTTGTACTCACTGAAGTTTGAGAAATACTCAGACTTTATGCCCCCAAAGGGTCACCTTGCAGATGATCAAGTATTAGCTCAGGATACAGAATCTGATTTAAGGGGGGAAAAGATAAACATAAAATAAATCAAGTCACAGATTTATCTTAATTGTTTAAAAATGAAAAAAAGATGAGTGTAGACTTAAGAAAGGAAGATAAACCAGTTCAGGTTTACTGTCAGGACAGTATATCCCCCAAGCCCCTAACTCCTACTTTAAAATGTTAAAGCTAGAAGTTTTATGTACATTGACTTTTCAGAGAAACATTTGTCATCCTGGAACTATTATGGGAAGGAAGACTGTTTGCCTGTGTACTTGGGGGACCCACATTCCTGAGTAAGAAGAAAACTTTGCACATTGTGCATTATAAGTGCCAGCAGGAAGCAATTCCAGGTACAGTGCTGTCGGCCAGATGGGACAGCCTTGCTCCCTGCCCACCACCTCTGAACACTGAGCCCCATAGCTGTATGCCCTAGCCCTGGCTTCTAAAGAATGCTTTGCTTTTGTGCTTCACTAAACATGAAACATTAGCTGCAAAGGAAGTCTGTCAAGGCTACACTTTATATCTGGAAAAGAGCAAAACAAGAAGAGCAGGAACTGAGGACTAAGTATTTTAAATATAAAAAAGGAGGAAAAAATATTAGTCAAAAATATCAAATAGGGTTTGAGAACAAAAGGAAAT